TCTTGACTATACAGACATAAAAACTAGGGGTCACTGAATGAAATTAATAGGTGCAGATTTGAAACAAACAAAAGGAACTATTTCTTCATACAATGCACAGTCAGTCTGTGGAACTCCTTGCCAGAGCATGTGGTGAAGACTAACATGGTTCAAAAAAGAACTAGATAAATTCATGAAGGATAGGTCCATCAATGCTTATTAGCCAGGATGGGTAGAAATGGTGTCCCTAGCCTCTGGGGATGGATCATGTGATGAGTACCTGTTTTGTTCATTCCCTCTGGGGCACTTGGCATGGCTGCTGTTAGAAGACAGGATACTGGGCTGGATGGATCTTTGGCCTGAACTAGTCTGGCTGTTCTTAAACATCTAACCAATATTGCCCCAAAGAGCTTACCAAGTTAGAGATCCTGCATGCTTCAGTAAACTAGGTAGAGTTTTAGAATTTTCTTGGCTCTCATCTAGTCTGTGTTGCTCTCCAGGTTTTCAGACTGCTCATTAGCACAGCATTTTCTCAGGAGTCAATGAAGGAACAATGACAGGCGAATGAGCTGGTGGGTCTAGTGTTAGGTATTTTTAAACAGTAGTTTTGAAATATGCCCTTAAAGACTTTGTTGTCACTGAGTGAGGGTCAGGATTTATAAAACATGACTCTATTTTCATGACATGTGACACTGCCTGGTCTCTGGCAATGACTTTCTTTGGGTCTGACTACACTGCAATGAGACATCTGCAGCTGGCACATGCCAGTTGACTCACGCTAAGGAGCTGTTTAATTGCAGTATAGATGTTTGGCCTTAAGCTGCAACACAAGCTCTAGGACCTCCCACCTTGGAGGGTTTTAGAATCCAGGCTGCAGCCTGAGCCAAAATGTCTACACTACAGTTAAATAGCCCCCTAAGCTGGCATGGGCTAGCTGTTGGTTTTTAATCGCAGGGTAGCCAGCACCTTTGTGATTTCATAACATCTCTGTGGGGATCCCAGAGCCTCTGTTCCACAGTGTTCTCTACATTCTAGTTTAAACACTGATGGTTGTATTTCTGAGACAAGAGCCTAATTCATCTCTGGGGTAAATGGAGCCTCAAAGCCCTGCAAAATCCTCCATGGGGTAAGTAATTGAAAAGGGCTGTTACAATGCAGTAGCTAGGAAATCTGTTAATTCAGTGTGTCCAGGCTGCTGATTAAGAGTGTAGCTGATTGATTGATTGACTACATTTGTAGTTCATTATTTGAAATGTTCAGAGACCAAATAAACAAGCTCACACAAAGTTTTTATTGTCTAAGGCAACGTAGTGCAATATGAAACAGATACACAGACCCCTCCTTTTGTGAAGAAATGTTTATCTGATTTCACCTTACACAGTACGTGGTCCCAAATTCACTTATATTTATACTCTTGTTGCTTTCAAATTAGCATGCACAGTCACCTGAGATCCAACCCACCAGTTTGTATGGGTCCCTTAACTTGTGGTTCTGTACCTTCCCTTATCTCTTTTGGATACTACATTTTTAACCAGCTGCCCATGAAGTTACCTATATAAGGACCAGTGATCCCTCTAATTTTTATGTCCATGTGCAGAATGAATTTTATGTGCAACACGGGTCGCACATCATCTCCATATTGGTTCACATAACAAAAATTCATTCTACAAATAGATGATCTGTGGTGGGGGTGGAGCTGAGGTATTCTGAATGTGGGAGGAGGCTCAAAGTTGGGGGAATGAGAGGATTACCTAGAGGTGCAGGCATTGGCATGGGGCTAGGGATGAGGGTTTTGGGGGAGCAGTAGGGGACTCCAGGCTGGGCCAGAGGGTTGGAGTGTAGGGTGAAGGCTGTGGCTGGGGTTTGAGATCTGGGATAGAGCTGGGGATGAAGGGTTTTGGATACAGGCTCCCTTGGAAGAGGGGAGCACTTCTCCATTTCTCTCTTACTGCAACAGCTCTGGGACAGGTGAGAGTCACCTCTCTGCTGGCTATGGCACCTCCAGTGATGCTGGGTTGGGCTGGAGGAGGGGTGCCTCTCCCCTGGCTGTGGCAGGTCCCTGCAAGCTCTGCTGGGGCTGGAGCATCATGCATCTCCCGTGGCTGTTGCATGGGGCTTATTAGGCAGAGGGAACCCTGACGAGTTCACAGAATGAATGTATCTTGCCTTTGACAGCTTTTGTATTTGCTAATGGCAAAAGCTACATTTAGCTTTGCAGCATACAGTGGGATATATTTCTCTTGAGATAAGTGGAAAACAATGTAGAAAAGACATGAATTGGCTAATGTAACAACACACATTGGGTATAATGCAATATTAATCTGCTATACGCTTTCCTAATGTGCATGGACTGGCTAACAAGGTGTAAATGAAAAGAACCATGTGGACATTCCCTCCCACAATCCTAGAGCAAATCATTCAGATGTGATTTAATAACATTGGCTGATCTGTGCTCAGAGATTCCTCCTCCCATCTTCTAATTTATTTGTGTCTCTCTTTAAATTTCATTTATTGTTTGCAGATTGAAATGAATGCATTCACAGATTTGAGAGCATGCTGCCCAGTTTTCAGTCTGCTCTGCTCTGTAACAAATCCATGGCATAAAGAAATAAACTGGCGAATATTTTTGAACTTTGTTCAGAAGACCAAATAAACAAGCTCAGCCAAAGATTTATTGTCCAAGACAAAGTAGTACAATATGAAATAGACACACAGACCCTTTCTTTTGGGAAGGAATCTTTATCAGCAGGTCAGATGCGGTCAGTATTGAATCCCTTGTTATCTGCTATTTTTTTGTCTAGTTGCTGTGAGCTGATAGAGGCCAGCTCCTTTCTAGGCACTACATCCAGGGCCGGCTGGCCTGAACCATTTTGGCACCCCAGGCCCAGGGCGGGCGAGGCCGCCCCGGGCGCATGGCTCATGCTTTTGGGAAGGAATCTTTATCAGCAGGTCAGATGCGGTCAGTATTGAATCCCTTGTTATCTGCTATTTTTTTGTCTAGTTGCTGTGAGCTGATAGAGGCCAGCTCCTTTCTAGGCACTACATCCAGGGCCGGCTGGCCTGAACCATTTTGGCACCCCAGGCCCAGGGCGGGCGAGGCCGCCCCGGGCGCATGGCTCATG